TTTAATATAAGACCCCACCGTGTAGAAGTCAAGGCATCAATATTTTTACATTTTAACTACAATTATATTTGCAAATCAATATATTTATTAGGATGGGTAATAGAACTTAAAAAGGAAGCATGAATCTCTTTTAAAATTAATTAGAAAACTTTGTTGATTTGAGTTACTGATTTGTAGGCAGAGATAAAGAGAAAATTGAGCTTGTGTGCATAGCAATGCACATTAGCTATTTTGTGAATATTGTGGTATCTTTGACTTCTGAAAGATGCCCTTTGATGACACTTACCCATCATAAGCATAGCAACATAAATAGCATTTATAGAATTGTTATTTAGAGTGTTTATGTTTTCATCAATGCCTTTGCATCCAGATTATCAACAAGATTATTTTGGTGTTTTTTTAAGTGTCGAGCACATTTACAAATTTTTCATATAAGTTTACATCGTAATGTCATGACTGCAAGATAATTTGCTTCCAATATTTGTGAATCTATGTATTTTAAAATTATTTTCCCTGCTCTGAGAGAATTTGATTGTTGTTTCCATTATTTAAATTTCTTACATTCTCGATCATTCTATTTTTCTTTCATTACCTAAATCTAAATAAGTATAATTTAAAAAAACTTAATACATTTTAAATGTACTTTGTTAATCAGAATTTTGTGGTTCATTATTATTAAGTGGTTGAAGTTAAAATTTTTTACCCTTGATTCATTTAATATTTTGGAAGAGGCAAATTTTACAAAATGTAATACTCGGCTCACTCACAAATCACAGTATTAAATTTGATTTTCATTTTATTTTTGATTAATAAATGATTTTATTTGTTTAAATTTGATTAGATTAGGATTGATAATATAAAATTTCTAAAAAATATTAAATCAATAATATTTATAAAAAAATATTAAATAAAAAGAATTCAGAAGGCCCAACACCTATGCATCCCTTACTTTTAGTGATGCTACAATTAATAGATAATTTTAACTTGATAATAATATAAACCAATACTAGGGCTGGCTGATCCTTTTATTGGCGCCGATCCCATACCGATATTTAATATCTCACTATATAAGGTTCAGCCCATAAAAAATTTAACCGATACAGATTTTATGCATATTTTTATTCATTTTTACTAATTTCCATTTTTCATAATAAATCTTTTCCATAACATAAAATAAATGTTTAATGTTTTTTAGCCCAAATTTTTTGTGTATTTTTATTTGTCTATTGATTATTTTGTTTTACTATTTATTAAGAAAGAACTTGGTAAATAAAAATTCGTAAGATTATGGTTTGTGATCCATAATTACCATTGGTTATCTTTTATTTATTTATCTGTCATATGCTTGGTTGAATTTTATATATTTAATTAATTTTTAAATGGTTTTTTTGTTGAATGATATTTTTATTATCGAAAACCATTGTTTGTTAATTTTTACGGTAACTCACTGAAAAATTTTTAATATTATTTTTTTATTTATTTTTTATAAATATTTTTAAAAAAATTTTTTATTTAAAAATAATAAATATACGATCGTCTGGATATTGGTGGAAATTTTTTGATGTAATAATAATTCAAAGTTTCATTTCTCAAAAATTTTAAGAATTGCATACTTTTTTCATTCAATTGGCGTTTTTAGATTTAGATGCAATAAGAATTTTTTTAATATTTTTTTAATTCCCCAGAACTGTAAGAACTTCCTCTCATTTACATATATATGTGAATATTCTTATTATCGTAATATTAAAAAAATGTCAAATAAATAATTCATTAAAGAAAAAATTTGTGTAAAAATTAATAACCAATGGATTTCGATAATAAACAAAAAAAAATTAAAAATAAATAGAATTCAACCAATTGACAATAAATAAATAAAAAATACCATAATCTTACCTAAAAATTATGCGAATTTAAATTTGAACAAAGATATCAATTATCTCCAATCGATCCTCTTGATTATTGGAGGGTAAGGTTCCCAACCTGTGAAAACCTAACACCTAAGTATTTGGCATCTCTTGCAACAAGTGTTCCATCAGAATTAGTCTCCAACACAACTGGTGATATAGATAATATTGTTAAACGAATCGATTTGAGCCGATTTTAAATCTGCTAACTCAATATTTTAAATAGAAAAATTAGATTCCATGTCAATTCAGCGAAACTCTTATCGCGAATATCGTTTATCGCGGATGAATTTTATAGCGTAACTTTTATCTGGAATCCACATTAGGATATTATCGCGAATTTTTTATAGAGAACCTTTAAAGCAAATACATTACGGCGAAACTTTTATCGCGATCAATAACCCTGAAAATTTTATAGCCAAGACATTCTTGCGAAGACAATATAGCGAAAACTATTTAGCGAAATATATCGCGAAGTATTATAGAGAATTTAATATCACGAGGTCAATATCGCGATGTTTTGTTAATTAGTCGAGTTCTTCTGCACTAAAATTTAGTCGAACTATTTAGTCAGCTTAGTTGACCAGTGTTGTTAAAATAGCGCGCTACTTTTTTCAGTAGCGTAGCTTTAGCGGGCTACTTTTTTAGAAAATAGCGATACGCTACTTTCAATTTTACATAATAAATACATCTAAAAATTATTAAAATATATTTTTTATTAAATCTAAAATTATAATCCTTTTATTTAATTTAATTTTGAAATTTATATTTAAAAATATACATTATAAATCTAGTTAGCATTATAAATTTAGTTATTAAAAATGTGTGAGATTGTTGATGATAGCAAAATTTCTTTGGAAAATGAGAAAAATATAGATTATCCTTTCCTAAAATTCAAAAAATATTTTAATCTTGAAGAAATATTTACTACTTGATATCGGCTTTGATGCAAGATGTGTCCTGAAACTGTAAATATTTTAAAAAATTTTATAAAATTTATCTATTAGGTAGATATCATAATAATTTTCAAGAGATTCTGACATCTAAATAAAAAAACATATACATATCTTTACTTTTTCAAATATTAGATTTAATAAACTAAACTGACAAATGTTAAACCCAATATTTTGCAATGCATTCCAGCCAACTTTTATTTGGGAAAATGCTCCCGAGATTAATAATATTTTGAAACAGCAAAATTTTTGACCACTAAACAAAGTGGCAGCATAAAATATCTGAGCAAGACGTTACAATAAAATATTGATATAAGATTTTTTGTTCTTACAATCTGGTGATATGACTGAAAAAATGGGATCTATGGGAAAGAAAGTTTTTAAAACACTGACGATTATTTGGAACCATACATAGATGCAACAATGCTCTTGAGGCGACTGCAGGCCTACACTACAGAACGTTCTTATATGGTATGAAAATTAATATTTTGAGATTTATATTTTTTCTTTATTTATAAAAAAAAATTTAGGTATAATCTTCTTCTAGATAGCATAATCAAATAAATATGGATATAATGGAGAGAAAAACAAACTGCGAAAAAAAAATAGAACAAAGAAAAGAGCTAAAAATTTATAATTGAAAAATTTGAAATCCATATGCTCCATAAAATTTCATACTTTTAATACCAAAGTTCCGACAACTGAGGATGTTGACATCAGAAGAAATAAATAAAGTTAAAAAAACCTAGATAACATGTTGGATTTGATTTTCATGAAAGAATATAACATCGAGGTGGATGAAAACTTGATTATATTCCTTTCCTCAAAAGCGAAGGGAATCCAATTAAAGGGTAAAATAATAAATTATAAAATTCGCTTAGCTACTTAATAAATGCGATGTTTGAAATAAATAACATCTAGGTCAAAATTAAACCATAACAGATGTTAGGATGAGGTTGTTAGAGAAGAGAGCACTGTACCATCAAAATATTTAAATCTTAAAATAACCATTTGATATGTATGATTTATCAAAATTTTAAGCTGATTATTACAATTAATTTAAATTTATTTTTTTAAACTTATTATTATTGGTTCCACTTTTATTTAAAGATCTCACTTGAGGAAGAGGATATACTTCAAACCGATATCCTACTTTGGTGGAAACGAGAAAAAAAAGATTCAAAAAAATATTAACAATTCCTGCAACTACTGCTCTTCTGAACGAGGATTTAGTATTGCTGGAAGGTTTTTAGAACAAAGAAGAACGTGTTTAAATCCAGAAAATGTATATATTTATTTTTATTTATGCATTATAATTACATATAATGTCAATTTTATATATTTTTTTTTTCATAAATATTTTATTTGATCAAATTAATTATCCATAATTAAATTTTATTTAATGCTTAAAATATAGTAATTTCCTAAATTACAAAACTTTTTTTAATTTTTTTTTATTAGATGTTAGAAAGAATGGGTATAATTAAATCTCATAATGGCGGGTTTGGGTTAAATTTTTTTATAAATAATGGGCGGCGGCGGGTAAAAAATTTTAGATTAATGAGCGGGCAGGTAAGGAATTTTAGACTAATGGGCCACAGGCTAAATTTTTATAAAATATTGGGGTGGGCTTATGGGCTAAAAACCGCCTAATGCAGACATCTAATTGGTATTATATAATGAATATTTTTTTAAAGATTTATATATTTTTTCGTGCCTGTTGACAAGAGTTGTAAAGTAAAGATATGTTCAAGCATAAACTGATATCTATAGAATCTCGGAATTACATGTTTGTCAAAAATTATTTATTAAGCAAGTTTGGATAACCTTCTAGCCACAAGAAAGAATGAAAGATAAAAAACCTTTTTCAAAATATTTTAAACAAAAATTCAATTTATTTATCAATAAATTTTTCTGCATTACCTTGGGAAAAATTTCTGCAGATTCCCATGGATCAACGAAAACAATAATTATTTAATTATTCTTTAAAAAAGAATAGATTATATAATACTCAAATGTACTAATCTCATTCCGAAAATAGAATTGAAATCTACTTCGTCTATTTCTAAGATTTATTTGCAAATGAATCAGGAATAATTGGGCGTAAGAGGGGCATAGTAAAATTTATTTAAATATGACATACCGGACTAGTTTCATTGCCTCCGTAAAAGGTAACCTTATCCCAGGTGGCTATAAGTGCCCAAAATGCCTTGAAATTCTTGTAAGTCGGAAAAGAATCTTTGATATCTTTGGTAAAATCTTCTAGCTCCTTTTTTTCGGTTGTTTGTCTGGCCAAAACTTTTCCATGGTTTAAATTGGTGTCTATATCCGTCCAATACGGGGCTATTACACTCAAACTACTTTTTTTTAGAGGAAAAGGCTGAGGCGTATATTGAATCACCGGTTTGGAGAAAGATATTATACCGTTGGTATTCACCTATTTTATAAAAAAAAATGGAAAGGGGGGAATATCATTGTATTATTTAAACAGAGATCTACACCCTCGGCCCGAAACCTAACCTGGCCCGGACTGCAAAATGATATGATTATAAAAATTAGGAAAAATATAATTTTTTTAGAGAACCCACACACTAGCTTGGGCTAAATTTTCAAAAATAATTATATCAATTAACCAGCTGGATTTTAAATAATTTACTAAATAGAGCTAAAATTATTTAATGAAATATATAAATAGATCTGTGCGGGCTAAAAAAATTTTTTAATCCAGGCCAGGTTTAAAAATGTAAATTTAAATGCTTGCGGGTATAAAAAATTGACCATGCAAACTAATTATTATGTGAATTCGATTGTTTTCCATTTGATTTCAATTTTATGAATAATTTTTGAAATCTAATACGAATAATAAATATAATTATTATTCGGTCAAATTATTTAAAATTATTTAATAACTATTCGAAATTATTTAAAAATACTCATATTGATAAATATTCTAAATTATTCTCGAAATATTTGAAAATATTCAACATACTTTTTAATGAAATTTTTTATTTTTTAAATTTACTTTCCCTTTTATTAATCATTCCTTTTTAAAATATAATAATTCATATTTTCACTTTTAAAAAATTTAATTTTCGAATCGAATACATATTTCAAATAGGAAGGAGTTAACCTAACTTTTTAAAAATCCTTTTTACATTATTTTATTTTTTTTGTATATAATATTTTGTTATACTAATATTTATATTGTTTTTATATTATTATAACATGTTTTTGATTCGGATTAATAAAATATTAATTATTTCCTAATATCACTAATATTCGTTTTTAATATTATTAAATACAGATTTGTTAACAGTACTTTTAAAACGTATCGAAAGGGATGCCGATATATTTAAAAAGATCAATCTATAACGATACAATTAGCGATATATTTTTTAAAAAATAGGAAATATAAATATTTTATTAATTAAATACATATCTATATAAAAAATACAAATAAAATTTTATCAAACATCATTATTTGATTTTAACAACAATATTACATCAAAATTTTTATCATGGAAACATTGAAACCGGTGCGCTAGAAGGAAATGTAGGTTGTATTTAATAATAACTGTTTAATATTACTATTAGGAAAATTATTTAAAATGATGAAATCTTTAGTTCTGTATGATGGAAAAAAAATATATAAGTTTTGTTTTATATTTGAATTATTTCCATTTTTATATTTTCTTCAGGAGTTTGATGTATATGAGATATCCCTTTTTATTATATAATCCAACCTCATTCAAGCTTTAAGTATGGGTGAAGTATGGTAGCTCTTAGATATATTGATTTTCATAAAATTATTTCCTTAATCCAAAGAGTCATTTTCTCTTATTCTTATTATCACTGAAAACTCTAAAAAGAATATAATTTATAAATTAAAATGGCAGAATAAAAAAAAACTTGAAAGCTCATTGATATTAAGGGTTAATGAAATTACTCATCCATCCATTGGCTGTTATAATAAATTTATTTTTTAATATGAAGTTATAATAATTTGTGCGATGAGGGATTTGTTTAAGATATAATATCCCTCGTTTCTTGATGAATTTAACAATGTGGTGTTTTCATAAATTTGAAGTACAAATATCTAAAGATGGGCATCGTTAATAAAATGTATGGAGTAAATACAAATATGCAAGAACTCTGAAAACATTTGTTGAAGAAGTTGGGTGTTTGTACCTAGAAATAATCTATAATTAAAATATTCAATCTTTAAAAAAAATGTTTAAGATTTTGTTGTTATTAAGTTTTTTTAGAAAGATGTATTTATGTTTTTAAGTTGTTAAAAATATGTTTAATTTGATAAAATATATATGTATATGGTCGTTGGCCATATATTTTATTTACTTGTTGATAAAGAAATAAATATAGGGACAACGAAAGGGATTGGATTTTTTTTTTATTTTGTGGATATCTGATGATGATTTATTATTAATATTTTTAATTTGATAGTGGAAAAATATCGCAAAATTTTAATATTGGAAGAATATTGTCATTAATTTTACATTAGAAGAATATTGTAGTTATTTGTATATTAAAGGAATATTGTAGTTATTTTACATTGGAAAAATACATGATCAAGAAGATTATTTTAATAAATAATACTTTAGGATATTTAATACCGTAAACATATTAAATAATTGGTGACATGACCAGTTTAGTGTTCCATAAGGGTTTTTGCGGGCACAATAAGTAAAAATATTAAAGAAATAAAGGTAACATTTAAGATTATGATTCACATATGTTGTTTTTTATAATAATCATAGTAAGCATTATTTTAGTAATCGCTTATCGGAAAAACATACGCATTGGAATATTTAATAAAGGTATTAATAAGTATGATTTGATTAATAATGTTGTATTTATTTGTTTAGTAATTTCCTAATAAAATATTTTACAAATTAATGGTTAAGGAAATTAATAGGATGAAAATTAAGTCGCATATCTCGGAGGCAAATCCAGATGATAAAGTAAAAATTATGGGGGTATTAATGTACAAATTAGTACAGAAAATATTTTAAATTTAATATTACGAGATGTACAAAATATGGCTAAAAATACTATAATTAAAGAAATGGATAATATCTTTTAGGATGTCAGGAAGTAGAAATCTCGGGTCAAAATTTTTTACATTTAATTCTTAAAGAATTACAGAATAATAAATTACATGTAGGTGAAACAATTACAGACAATATAGTTAATAATCATATATATATAAACCTTTGGGGGATAAGTCAGGTGAGATGATTGTACAAAATAGCACAATAAATATTTTACAATTAATTTTAAATGAGTTACGCAATAATAAGGCAATTATTCAGGAGAAATGTCCAAATAAATTGAATGATAAAGTATCTTCTTCAGAAGGTAAAATTCAAGATAAAAATATTACATCAAATTCTTTAAATATAATTTTAAAGGAATTGCAAACGGGTCATTCCATGACAAATCAACCACGATTCGGCCGACCCCCTTCGATTTTTTTAAAATTTGGTAAGCAAAGAAAGGTCGATGTAACTAAGAAATAGCCAAAATTTTAGCCTCCTAACATTTATATTTTTGAAGATATTAGGGTTCAAAGTGTCAAAAATGACGTATTTTTACCATTATCTGCCTTCATTCAATTAAGCATATCTTAAAAACTACATAATTGTAAATAACAAATTTAATATCAAAATTACGTACAAAGATTCTACTTTTAGATAAAAAAAATTTTTATTTTTTTTCCCAATTTCCGGTCATTTTATTTAATATATAAGGACTAAAAACGATTTTTTGGAAATAATACGACCTTCAATTTTTTTTAAAAATTTAGTAGACATTATTAAACTCTTCCTTTATATTTATAAAAAAAAATTGGTCTGGGACGCGGCCATCTTCATTCTCAAAATCGATAAAAATGTTTAGAAAAGTGTATAAATATTTTCCCGAAAGGGGGCGTCTTTGTATAAAATTATATATTAATCAGTTTTTAATGGTTTTTCTTGGACTATTTGATATAATTTAAAGGATTATTCATCTTGTAAGTGAAAATAACAATAAATGGGGCTTTCATTCAATTATAGAAATTGTCTATCGATAAAAGAAATTCAATTTATTACTTTATTATAAAATTTTTTGCCCATATAACATATACTTAATGAATATTAATAAAATATATTCAACCAAGTTTATAGTTCTTGAATATATGAATCAGAATCTTGTTCATTTCATAGACGCCAAAAATAATATCAAAATTTTCTCTATTCAATTTTTTAAAATAATTTGAAATTTTTAAAATATTACAAATATTAATTTATTATTATTATGAAATTATATACAAAATAAAAGTATTATCATAAAATTACCCAAAACAATATAAATATTGGATCGGATTTTCTAAAATCGGCATAGTCTTTCTAAATTAGAATAACAATAAATAAGTGTTTCAATCAATAAAATAAATAAAAATTTTAAAATTGATTAACCCTTTCGCGCCCAGCGAGATCATTTGTCATTAAAATTTTTAATCAATTAATTTTTATATTTAAAGAAACTAATGGTTGGTACTTAGAGATATTAATTTATAAAACAATATTTATTATTTCATATTTTATCATTAACCTGTCAAAATCATTATTTTATTATGTCAAAATGATTATTTTATTATATCAAAGTACAAGTATTTTTTGTTTATGGGAAATATTTCAAGCGCGAAAGGGTTTTATTCATTCAATAACACATACTCACTATATTAATTCATTTTTTAATAAATTTCTTGGTATTTTGATTTCTATCAACACCTAACCCCAAGCCTGGAAAAACTATAGACGAATATACAGTTAAAATTGTACAAGAATTTTATTGTATGGACGAAATAAGCAGAATCATACCAGACAAGAAAGATTGCGTTTCGATTTTGACCAAAGACGGAAAAAAGAATACCATAAGAGATTAATTTTAGATAATTTGAAAAAAATTTATATATTTTTTAAAGAAATGAGGCCTGATGTTAAAATTGGTTTTTCGAAATTCGCAAGCATTCGCCCAAAAATTGTATACTCGTTGAAGGTAGTGGTACACATGTATGTGATTGCAGCTACCACCAAAATTTAAATTAATGATCATTGGATCAAATTTAACCAATGATATGTTGCCCTTTAAAACATACAAACATATTTTACACTTAATAATTTGTAATTCGCCTCAACCATCCATTTATATGGGCAAATGTGATAATTGTCCAGGGTCAACACATTTACGCGATCAAATAGAAATATTGTTTCGTTCTAAGGACATCGAATTTATAACATACAAACAATGGCTATCCGTAGATAGAACCACCCTTGAAACAATAACCAAACCAGTAGGTGAATTTATTAATGCCTTTTTAAAATAAATGGAATCTTTATCATTTTTTTATTTCAACGCAACAATCGTTGTATCAAA